TAATAAAAATTTTATCCACAGAAATATTAATATTTATCACGATTCTTTTCGTATTAATGAACAAATTTTGACACGTTCAATAATACATTGTATCAACTGGAAGAGTAGAAAACGAATTAAAAAATGAATTGAAACAATTATAACAAAATTTCTGCTAAATTTAAACAAAATTTAAATAAAAATCCCACGATTATAATCAATACACGAATACTTAAGATATTAAAATACCTAAAAATTCGCAACCCTCTAAATATTTATTAAAACCTCCCTCGCACCTTCTTGTTCCCCATACCATTGCAATTTCTTTCGCGCTACAAACAAGCCATACAAAATCAACCTGCCAAAGAAAGTATCTCGCCCATCCGTCACGTAATCATCCCTTATTTTTCCCCTTAATCCACCCTCCGACATTTTGCGAAACGCGTCGTCTTAAAAAGTTCGATATCTCGGTAACGAGAGTCTCGCCCCATCATCCGCCTCAATTAAGTAAGTTTCGTCCCAGACGCCATTCGCCGGCGCCTTTCCTCGCGTCCTTGCCCTAACCACCGACCGGAAATTATATATGCAACCCAAAGCTTTCTTCCCTTTAATTTCGTTCCACGGGCGTTACGCGTGTCTCGTTCGTCTACGATGGACGATGTGTTTGCCCCTCTTTCGTTGAATTAATTGCCGCACACACCAATTTTCAACATCCAACCGCGTAACGCTTGTCCCACGAGCAAAACTGCGATGCTGTAAAACGAGAACGCCATTTTTTTCTCTGCCTCCCTCTCTCTCTCTCTCTCTCTCTCTCTCTCTCTCTCTCTCTCCGTTTTTTTCCCAGTCTCGTTCCATTTGACACAATTTCAATTTTCGTGCAACATGTGCACAGGTTACGTCACTCGCGAATTCGCGTCACACGAGGTAGGATTGCCGGATGAACAGATGTTCCTAGTTTTTTTCACCGAATCGCGATGCTGATTGTTATGAGAATCAATTGGTAGAAATGTTTGTCGAGTAGTTGGATATTCGTTGTTTGGCAAACGTTTAAAATGATTGTTGTTGATCAGTTTCTTCGGTTTTTTAAATAAATATACGTGCATTCTTAATTTGAGCGATGTTACTCGGTCGTTGATGATTTATTAATATTGTAAATTTATAATATATTATATTATATTATATATATTATATTATATATATTATATTATAAATTTATAATAATAGTATTGTAAATTTATAATAAATTTTGATTAAATTCAAGGAGGAAAGATTCAAAAATATATGGAAAATATGAGATACAAATTAGAATGAATTACTCACGATTCCTTCACGAAATCAAATTTGAAGATTGCTCCATAAAATGATATATTTCTAGCGAAAATTTCATTACAAGATTGCTCGCGATATCTCTTGAAAAATAAATCTCGATATATCTTGTCGGAAATTGTTGTTCACGATGCCTTGGCGAAATCAAATTCTTCCACAATTTCTAACTACAAGATCAAATTACGGTAAATTATTCGGTAATATCTTCGAAAGCAGTAAATCGTCTCAGCATCCCAACGCAAATTGGATTGCGATGTCTTCGAAATTACATTAATCCCATTGAAAAAATTCTTCTTCAATCCCGAATGCGAACTGTATAATAATATACACTCGTGTGAAATTGTTCTCGATTGAAATCAAATTCCCTCTTCACAATTTCTAACTGGGAGATCTAATTCTTCAAGTAATATCTTTCAAAGAGATAAATTAAGAATCTTCCTCCTCGAAACGAAGAATTTCCATGAATTTCCATCAACTTCATCGCAAAATTTGCAAAATTATTCGCAATACTCCGGGATTCGACTGGAGGAGGCGCACAGAACCGTTTCCTAGTTAGACCAATTCCGTACTTTCGCTCGTCACGATTAATTAGCTTAATTCTGGCTTCCTGTTGTTGCGTACCGTGCGGTGCACCCGTTGCGTGTCACGCTGGCATAACCAGCCGCATTCCAGCATCATAGTTGACGCACGTGTGTCGTCGTAAAAGCACCCGTGGCATCCCGCCGCGAGGATGAGCGCCGTCGAGACGTCGATCTGCATTTCCGTGTTGTGCGTATACATCCTTAAAGCCACATCACCGATACGCATTGTTAACCGTTTGGGTAAGAGAAATTGGGTAAGATTGAATTGGACGCCGTGTCTTCCTCGTGTGCATTAATGATACTCGTGATATTGTTAGGTATGACGAGACAGTATCAGAATCTGAGAGACTGAGTATGTTGTACTCAACTTGATACAGAGTTTTGAAAATAGATGTTTTCATTTATTGATATCCAGAATGATATTGGGGATATAAATGTTTGAAATTATGCCCAAAGTGCAAGAAATTCGTTGAAATTTTTCTTTAATTATTTTGAAGAAACTATATATATTTTATATATATTTTATATATTTTATATATTTTAAAAAAACTGTTTAAAAGCATACAGTTACATTTACAATATTATCATTACTGATCAGAGGAATCGAAACGGCTGCAAGTTCAAATGAAGATATATGCGTCGACATTCGCAGACTAGTTTGATTTCTTTTCTAAATTGCTAGAACCTAGGTGAAATATTCACTCGAGTAACTTTGTCGTCGTGTCACGAATACCTCGAATCGTTGTGATTAGGGGTTTGCAACTTGAAAGCACTTGTGACTCACGATAATACCGTATGACAGAGGTGTATGATCTCGTGGAAGCAAGTTATATGAGTCAGACAATTTTCTCCAACCCCTTTAGTACACGTAATTCTTTTTCCCTCTTTCGTATCGTTCCTCTTCCCAATCGTTTTCCGTTTGAAGTTATTTTATTTTATTCTCACATAAAGTAATAAATTTAATAGAAAAATAATTTGAGAAAGGAAGTGAATTATTATCTCATTCTTTTAAAAAATAGTTCCAAAAATTTATCACATACATTTAATAATCTATTTGTCTCGACAAGATACTATTATCGAATTTATTACGTACATCTTTTTTTCAATTTAATACCCCTTGATAATACCAAGACACGCAAAATGAATTGTTATTAATTTTATTGCTAGAGACCTATTAAAATAAAAAATTAAAGATTGTTAAAAAATTCGAGCGTGGATATCTTGTTTACACATTTACATTGAAAATCAAAAAATCGAATGATAAATAATCACAATTAAAATTTTTTCTGTAAAAAAAAAAATGTAATCAAATAATAATCACTTACAATTAAAATGATTCGATTAAAAATTATCGTATTTCTCCGCGTATATTATTTTTACTTTATAAACGTTCCTCATTTCGCAGATGAAAATAATTCCTCTTCCTCAAAAAAAAATGAGAAAAACTCGTGTCGCGACACATCACAGAGGTCAGACCTGACTGACGACATTTTTCCAGGTATACCATCACGTGTTACGGTGTTCTGAAAAAGAGTCGTAAACCACAGACAATTTTTTTCAACCCCCGTGACTGCTCTTTGTTCACGTACCCGTTATTCTCTCTGTTTGCGCACATTTTTCTGTGTCAATTTGCACCACTTTTTACCCGTCCTCACCCTCTGTTGCGCTGCCCCTGCATTTGCTTCAAGATACGGTAGAAGTTGTCGCAATATGTTCCCGCAAACGGTTTTGTATTCGTAAAGAGAATGTAGACACGTCGTATGATCATAAATTTTAAAACGCGGTATATATTTCCCCTTTCAAAATAGGTAAATGACGTTTTAAAAATCTTTTTCTTTGTTACTTTGATATTGTTACTTTCCACGATCAAATGTGCAATTTTTTTCTCGTTTTTTGGCTTTCATTTTTATTTTTATTTTTATTTTTTTTTTTTTCTTTTGCGAATAAAATCGGCCGTAAAAATTGCTTTGTCCATGCACGTTGCCCATTGTCCCTGAAATTAAAGAAATGTCAAAAAAAGTGATCATGAATTTTCAAACATCTAAAGAATCTTAATTTTTAATTGAAATTGATGAATATTTTAATGAATTTTATATAGCCATTATCATAATTTTATTATAAGAATCATCAATTTATATTATCATTTAATTGTAAATCATTCACAATTTTTCATCTTTGTGAATAAATTATATTTTTATAACTAAAAAATTTAAAAAAAAAAAAGATAATTTAATTGATATTCTTAAAATTTTCTCATCGAATATCAATAAAATAAATAAAATCATATCTAATTAAGAATAATTTTCCTCGTTTCAACTTCCATTCAAACTTATTCTTGAAAAAGAAAAAATTTTCACATTTAATTTTAAACACTGGTTGGATCTCGTTATTCCATTAAAATTATTCTATTAAAACGCGACATGGCATTGGAAACACGCAAAAGCATGCACTTAGTTGCGAAAATACGTATATAATTGTAAACCGGATATGCGTATTTTTCATATGCGTTTAAAAATGTAGTAGAAAAAATCGGTGTCGATTTCCATATAAAAGTATCGTTGTTGCAAAATTGTCCGTCAAGGCTTAAACCAGCATTTTCAGGTCGTGATCGAAAAATTCCATGCGTTTTTCCTTACATTAGGTAACCAAGAAAAGTCTTGTTTCTTTTTCTGGCGAAAGAAAAAGATGCAAGAAATATAGGAAAGAAAATTGTATTCCTTGGAATAATTATTTACTCTGTTTACAACAAAAAGAAATGATAGATAATTCGTATGATAATTCAAAAGAAGAATATTAATCAAGAAGAAAAATTAATCAAGAAATTTTCATTTTTCCCGTGAGCAAATTCTTTGAAAGTACTTTTTTTGCTGTCCTAGATTCACAAAAAATGTCTAGAATATTTATCAAGATTCCTCTCTCTTATTATTATTCAGTTATTCATTTAGTCAGATTAAAAAGATTGGCAAAAATAAAAATTCCTCCAAAGAAATTTGGGACATAAATAATCCAGATTATTTGCTGTTTAATATTATTCCATTTTTTCCTTTCCTTCTCTAAACAAAATGTACATTTCGATATAATAATAAATATATCATACCTTAATTTTGTTTACAGTTTACGCTGCCGAGCCTTCCTTGGAGATTCTTCCGAGTGGAGAGACGCAGACGAAGGCAATCGGATCCAGCATCATTCTGACGTGCAATCCAAAGGTCGAAGACACGAAACTGATCTCTGATATGCAATGGATCGATCCGCAAGATCGTGTGATCGAGCCTTTGAAGTGAGTATCATTGATAAAATATATATTTAGATTCTATTATTTTTTAGTAATAATTCTTTGTAACTTTTTCAAATATCTTGGCTCCTTGCTATTATAAATATTTACGTATATAGTATATTCTCGTCTGAGGAGGATTTATGAAAAATGTAATTGAGTTATTGCAGAGAAAGAATTGGAATTTTTAGCAACGTTAATGATTTTGAAATACGATCTATTTTATAATGAATATCTATTTTCTATTTTTAGTTGATTATTAACAAGTTCATCTATTTTTGGAAAATTCTCCACGAAATTTTATCAGGAAGGAACTTAAACTGACAAAAGATATATTTGTTATTGTCTAAAGTAAAAAATATAATTAGAAATGAGAGATTAATTCCACAAGAACAATATTTAAACAAAGTTTTGACTTGTATATAAAGAATAATACGATTACAATTTTATGGAGAAATTTTGAATTTTAAATTCATTTTAAATGAAACTTTGAAATTCATAAATTGATTTAACTTATTTAAATTTAGATGAACGAAAAAAAAAAAAGAGAGAAAAGAAAATGTATATAAATTCATATTAAATTTTAGTTTTATTCGATTAAAAAAAGAAGATTAAAGCAATATTTATTCCAATTTAACACGTAATTTCTCATATGTAAAACATATTAAAGTCTTCTGCGAATTTCAATAAATGTAAAAATAAAAATTATATTCGAATATTCTTTTTTCATAAGATTATTAAATTTCGTGGATTCGCAAAAATATGATGCGCAGATTTAACGTCATAATTCAAGCAAGTTCTCCCGCTGGGCGAGAGAAATGTAAAAAGAAAAAGAAAAAAAAATGTCACGATGGTGCAAACAAACGTTTTTCAAGTCAGACGAGGATATACGAGCAAGGAAATTCACGCTTTTGAGCTTTTTTGACAATAACAAAGCCACCTTTAGCAATATTAAAAAAAAAAAAGTATAATGGGTATGATGTAATTCACAGAGTATAAAATGATTTTTTTCTTAAAGTCACAATTGAATAAATCAAATTTATTTCTCTCCCTTTTATTGCATCATATCTTCTCAAAAATCTAAAAATCAATTGCATTTATGATTTAATTCATGTCTCGTTTTGTCCATTAATTTTTATCATTTTATCACTTTTTTGATTATTAGAATTATTCCCTAACTATCTTGAATAACATTTGTCATTTATTATAAAAAATATAAGATAACAATTTAATAAAATAATCTTTCCATGAAATTTAATTTATTTCTACAGAAAAAAGAAAAATAAATCAAAATAAATCAAACTATAATTGCAAAAGAAAAAAAGCTACACGAGGAACTTTTAATAAAAATTGATGCTTAATTAATTATCTCTTTTTCCGTTAAAAATTTACATCATACCCATTATACATGACTAATTAACGTAATATAATTTTTTTTTTACAATTTTTTTCTCTCTCTCTGAAATAACACACGAATAGAAAACACGACAAACACTTAGCACTAATTATAACAAATTTCTGTCACTTGTTTTGCACACAGACTCGTCGTTTTGCCGATCGAAAGGCGAGTATACAAAACTCAATTCAAGACTTTTACACGCAACCACCCAGTAGACACCCAGTAGTGTCATTGCCAATCTCCCTTTGTTTTGCGATGATTGTTCCCTAAATATATACATATATATACTATAGATTTTGTTCGAATAAATTTAATGGATAATTTTAAAATCTAAAATAAATACAAAAGTTAATATGTAAGAATATTTATCGAAGCTTATCCTTGAAGTTGTAAGAAATTTAATTTTTCACTAGATAAAGTAAAACGATAAAATACTCGTGACGATAAGTATAATATTCCTTTCGTTTAATACGAAATTCTTTTTCCCTTTTCACAATGGAATATAAAATAGACTGTAAAAAATTAATAAATTTATGAAAAATTTAAATACACAAATACTTACGTGATATGCAATAAGACGTAAAAATATTCAAAGCAAAATCCATGTTATGATCTTAAAGGATAAGAAAAATCTTTATTTCGGTTTCATTTATGTAAATATACTCGTAAAAAATTCGTATAAAGATATCCGCTTGAGGAACGGTCTTATATGGAATATGGAACATACAGAGAAAAATATTTTTTATAACAACCCACATCACATCAATTTCGAATTGAATCGCATATAAACGATAAGCTTCGTTTTTGCAATTTCATTTTATCAACTTCTGTATTTGTTTCAGTTTCTAGAATCACTCTTTAAATTTCCCATCCACTTCATCCGAGAAACTCTGTACATCTTTACGTATATACATAGAGTTACTTTAGAGTTCACCCCCGTTTACGAAAACTTAGAAGACGTTGTCCTTCTTAGCTATGCCTTATATATATATATATATACTTTCGTAATACGTATACATACACACATACACGCACAAACAGATACCACCACGCACCGTGCACACCCCTTGCAAACCATCAACCACCCCTACTCTTTCACTCTCGTGGCTGATTTACGTCTACTACAGCCCCTGTACGGAGCACTTAATTGCTGCAGGTCCGCCCAATTGTTCCGCGAGCTAAGCGTTGCTCATTAAGCTGTTCGAGAAAGTTTTCCGCCTTCCGTGGCCAAACTGGCTTCGCGTTGTATTTGAACGGCTAAACCGAGCCAAACTAACAACCCAAAAGCCGCATGTAACGCGGCCTGATGCAAGAAAATTCACGAGCAAAGTAGAGAGGTTAAACGATGCTTGGCTTGCGTTATAGTGTGTTATTCTTATGACATATAATCGTGGCTACCTGAGCAATTAATACTTGGACTGTGTAATGCCCCGTGTGCCGTATAGACGACGGGTCGATTGTTACCCTGACTTTGAAAGGAAATCTTATGATGTATTTACGAACTTGTATTTCTAAATTTTTTTTTTTTTTTTTTAAATTAATGGCAAAGGATATATTTTTTTAACGATTGTTATATATTTTTAATTTTTTAAAAAGTATTTTATTTTCTATTAAATTTAAATAAATAATAAAAAAAGTAATAGTAATAATAGTTTTTCGATGTATTTTTTCTTTCTGAAACAGTAAAAATATCGATTATGGAATAAAATTGGAATAAAACTGAATTCGAGAACATTTTCGAAACATTCAAGTCAGAACTATAAAATCAGACAAAACTGCTCGTGATCGCGATAGGATAAATGTTTACAGTGTAAACACGCTGCTCTGGTTTGAAAGTATAACAATCCTAAGATATGAATTGTTATCGACCTGGCGTCTGTTATGGATAAATGTTGTTTTCCACGATATTCAGAATAGACTTACAATCTTAAAAAGACTTACTTTGCGATTGGAACTTTTTATTTCTTTTCTCTAATAAATTTTTACGAACTATATACAATATGTATTTCACGTATATAACAAGAATATAATCCTTCCCAAACTCCAACAAAGTATACATACAAAACACTAATATAAAATCGTATCCATCGTTAAACGAAAAATCGAAAATCTCGAAAGAGTTAATCGCTTAAAAGGAATTGAAACGAAAGCGCTACTTGCGAGAAAGACAACGGAAGGAGACATCTAGCGGCGATAAATTGAAATATCCTCGAACACCTCGAATTCCTATACGTCAAAAAAAAAAAAAAAGAAAGAAAATATCGCTCCGTTACACCAATCATACCGTGAAAATATACATCGATTACTTCACCACCCTTTCTAACCCGCTCTTTTCTCTTTTTTTTTTTTTTTCCTCCACTACACCCACGCAAAGGTAAAGTGGCCTCGAGCGCATCCAATTGATTCCAAGCATGTGATAGCAGCCATTTGATCGCACGTATACGCCAACAATTAATCAAAACGCATACAGAACGTTCAGCCCAAGTACCCTTTCGTGCCCAACCAGGCCTGGATCAACAGAGAGACGATCGTATCCATTATCCATCCCACATCCGCTCGCGTGTCTTCTCTCTTCCGATATCGAGGATCGAACCTCGGTGGCTAAATAATGTATCGCGGCGCGCGTCTTGCAAATATTGAACACTCCCCTCCCTCCCACCCGTGATCAAACAATCCAACGAGCATTAACCTCGGTAACTGATTCGTCGGATCGCGTGTTTGCACGATTACGCGTAGCCCGGCCGATTTGCATAATTATGTCCGCTCGTCGCGGCGAATAACGGCCGATAAATTCGCCGAGGGACCCGTGTATTCGAGGCCGAGAACCGTTTCATTAATCGTACTTAAGGCTCCGGTGTTCCTCGATTAGGCAAGAAGAAAGGGGTATTATTGCATAATCGTCAGCCCAGTCCCTCCTCCCCTTCATTGTCGTACGTAATACCTACGTAAATTTTGACAGAGTTGCACACCACCACGTGGACGAGATGGATCAATTTTCGTGATCCTATACATCCACGCAGCGTATATCCACTTGGTAATTTTTGAATTTGTTTTAATTTTTGAATTTAGTTGCGTCGTGATTCAGTAGAAAGAAAAGTCGTGTAATACGAATTTTCACCTAATTTTCTTCTCGCTATCTCTAATAGCGAGACCCATTTCTCTGGAATGGAGAATATTAGGCAAATGCAAAATTTTTGTCGGAGAAATCGAGAATCAATTTAGAGAATTTTTACTTGATTTCGTATTCTTCCGGAAGACGATTATGTTAAAATATAGAAATAAGAAGCTTATTTAATTAAATAATGAAGTGTATACAGTATGCCAATCTGAATCATTCCTAATTAAGTGTTATATTACGATGTTAAACGTAAATAAACTTGCGTAAAATTAAAACAAATGGGATCGTACATTAATTTCTGATCCATCGAACCCACCGATCTTAAGAAAATATCGGTATCGAGTTTCCAATCTAACAATCAGTAACCCAACTCTAATTATTTTTCCCCCCCGGATCGATCGATCATTGGATCCTCCCGTTTCCCAATTCGAAAGGGTTCATTAAAGCGTATCTCTGCAGACCTAGCCGTTTCCAATTGGTATCGAAGCTATTCATTACGGCGCGATTCAGCATCTCTATGCACCAGAACCTTATCTTCGATCCAGTATCCTGTCACGCGGTGTGTTGTTAAATTGTGTGAATCCATGTGAATGCGTCTCGTTTGTACCCCAGTTTCCCGGTTTACGGTATGAAACAGCCAACGACCGAATTGTCCATTGCCACCTTTAAACCTTGGATAAGGGCCGACAAACCTTCTTCAACCTCTTTAACACCGTGGTCTCTTGATCCCGCCCCGATCTTCTTCCTTTCTCTTCCACAAGTCGAGTTCTAAAAGATCCCGATCGAGAACTCGGGTTGAACTCTCCTCCTCCTCCTCTCCCCCACCCCGGTCATCGATCCGAATTCGACGCCGCGCCGTGTTCACCGCGTGTACAAACCCCAACCTCGTAACGATATTTCACCGATATCGGCTCGGTGTTTCGCGCTAGAATACGGATTAGATGTTTTGCCAACGATTTATGCGCCCCGAATATTTGGAACGTTCGGATATTCCGAGGGAATAAAGTGTTTCGTCGCTGGTTTTTGGTTTATATAATCGATTTTTACGACACTTAATAGTCGAGTTATATCGTTGAAAATTCATATCGTGAGTTTATGTATATGACATGAACATATAATATAAAAATATTGTTTGGTGATAAAATATTGGCAATGGTTGCGGTCTTCTCAGTTTTGAAGGATTTTTTCTTTTTTTATTTTTATTTTCTCTTGATTTCTAAGTAAATAGAAAATTCTGTTCTCATTTGTCAATTTCACGCTTCGATGTGAACATACGTGATAAATAAAGAATAAGGAATTCATGTTGGAGAATTCTTTAGTTAATATTTTGAAAATACGTATAAATAATTAAATCGTCGATTAGATTGATTTTAATTCGCGAAACACCGAGCCAATTTCTATTCATTGTGCAACACTCAATCCGAACATCTCTCACTCATCGTCATCACCATCATCGTTATAGTATGTTATCATCGTTGGAATGGTTTTGTGATAACACGATGAAAAATATGGATGTTTTAACAGTGATCTTTTAATTATCCCCATGTAGCAACATACCAGGCCATTCAAAGCCGCCGATGTACACCGAATTGCACCAGGATAACAGCTTGTCTTTGTTCTTCAACTCGCTGCAAGAGCAGCAGGCTGGGAAATACACGTGCAAAGCCACTTACGCGAATTCGATTCAATTGCAGAAGTCTGTGACGATCGATACCATAGGTGAGCAAAATAAAATTTGAATTTTCACCGATTCTGGATGTAATATTTTCCGTTTATCACTTTTCAAGAATCTTATACCGTATATCCATGTATATTCTGTATTTTAAATTGTATTCTGTATTTTAAATTGTTGAAGAGAGATTGAAACAAGTTTTTGAATGATACTCTAAAAATCTGTGTATATCTGTAAATATTAAAAATTTTAATATTAATTTATGGAAAGATGGTATATCAGATAATATTATAAATTTTACTGATTTTAAATATTATCATGCACGTGCACGACACAATTATTAAAATTTAATATTTATTAAAAACTGAATATTTAAATTCATTTCGAATAATTTTCTGAAAGAATTAATTCATGTGTAATATTATAAATTTCCATCTATCTTTTACTAAATTTTCTTTAGTTTCAAAAACGAAAATGATCTCGTTTGATTTTATTTTTTTCAATGCGAGACGAATGAAAAATCGTGTCAAACGTTCGTCAAATAAAGACCCGATGAATTCAAATCATCGTCGTCTCGAAATATAAAAGAAGCGCGAGACAGAATTATTGGAGAGTAATTACTGTTTCGCAGTTGCGATCACTTGGGACAATGCACCGCTCAATCAATACCCCATTCTGGGCGAGGACTTCGCTATTCAGTGCAAAGTGCGGGCAAGGCCTTCGCCTTCGGTCGACTGGTTGTACAACGGCGAATTAATTAAGACGAACGACCACTACATTATAGACACGTATGCACTGAAGATAAAGAACGTTCAAGAATCGGATGATGGCGTTTACACTTGCCGCGCTTCCGTATTTTCCACCGGTGAGCTCAAGGAACGACCTATCCGCGTCGAGGTGAGTTAAGCATCTTTACATCTTTCTTCTTCTTCTTCTTCAAAAATTATCCAGATTTTATTATATTATATCATGCATTAAATTCGTTTCATAAAAGAGAATATTATGAAATAATATCAACAAATTACTCCAAAATATCCACATGGTATTACAATTTTAACCCGCAATCTTTTCTTTGCTGGAAAAATTGATCGAAGCGGACATCCAATAAAAATCGAGAAGAAAAAATTCTATCACGGAGAAAGAGTGGAAACATAAAGGAGAAGAACTGTGGGGGAAAAGTAGTGAAACAAAATTACAAAGGATCCAATCTGTTTTCTCACGACTTTTACGTATAAAAAGCCAATGCATTCTCAAAGAAGCTCATTTATTAATTTCATATTCATGAGCACGAGAGAAGCTCGGAGCTCGGTATAAAAACACGAAAAACAAAGCAAGCATTTTTAAAAAAAAAAAAAAAAAAGCAAGAGAGGTAACGTCCAATTATAATAAGCAAACAACACGGTAAATAAAATGGGTGCACATTCAACGTAAAATCAAATATCTGACTGAATTTCGTACATACCCATTTCCTCCCTCCGGTTTGTATACACACGCAACCAGAGTGAACAAGCTCCACCATCCACCCTTTACAAAGCCTTGGCCGGGAGTGTGTATGCGCGGGCGCCAATTATTCCCAATCCGAGGCGTATAATGCCGCCACAGGTATGATGGAACAGGTTTGCGTTTCATTTAACAGGTCCACATACGGCCCACGGTGAGCGACGTGCCCAACGCCATAAACATGATCGAAGGAAACGACGCGAGTATAAACTGCGATGCCCGAGGCAAGCCGCCCCCAAAATTCACCTGGGTTAAATCGTTGACCCACCAGAATCTGTCGAACGCGGATCGTTTCTCGGTCGATCCGGACACGGGTGTGCTCACGATCACCAACGTGAACAGGGACGATGCAGGGGAGTACCAGTGCACGGCTACGAATCTGGCTGGCACCGCGAACACCAACATCATGGTGAACGTGATCGTGAAACCGAAGATCATCGAGTTCTTGAACAGCACGGTGGTCGAGGACAAAGAGGCCACGCTGGTGTGCAAGGCGTTCGGCAGGCCGCCGCCCCAAGTCACTTTCAGGAAGCTGACCGCAGAGAAGGCGTACGTTAAGGGTCCCCAATTGGACAACGACAGGATCATCCTCGACAACAGTGGCGATGACAGCGAGACAATCGGCACACTGACGATCACCCAGTCCCTCAGATCGAACGACGGATTGTACGAGTGTGTCGCGCAGAACGCCGGTGGTGACGCGCGTAGGATCGGCCATCTAACCGTCGAGTTTCCACCGTCTTTCGCCTCTATGTCGAACACAAGCGTCTGGTCGTGGGACCAGAAACCCGTGAACATCAGCTGCATAGCCGAGAGCATACCGAACGCCACCATACGTTGGACCATGTACGGCGATCAGAAGATCGACAACGACAAGATGATCACGCAAATTGGTAACGGGCCACGATCTATACTCACCATCGTCCTGGACAAGCGGTATTACACCACTTACAAGTGCATCGCGTCGAACGCGCACGGGACGCGGGAGCGGAACATCGAGTTGAGGGAGGCCACGAAGCCGGGAGAGATGTTGCAGGCGAAGATGGCGGAGATCACCGCGACCACGATTAGATTCGATCTTGTACCACCGAGTACGCATCCCGAGCAACCTCTCAGAACGATTACCGTGCAGTATAAGGAGGACAGGCAGACATGGATTGAGGCTAGGAACAAGACGTGGTCTGTCGGTGAGTGGAGGGAACAAAATTTCGACGTCATGTTGATTAATAATTAATAATTAACCCTTTGCGCTTGTGAGGCGACTCTCAGTCGCCATGGCGTTTCATGCGACAATTCTTTATTTTATTATGCTAGATCTCTAATTAACAAGAGCGTAATATTGATTTATGAATAGGTTCCTTAGCTCTCTTTATTTCTAGCAAGTGTATAAAATCATTTTAGACGCTCGTAAAGAATCGTCGAGCACGAAAGGGTTAACTCACCGTAAAAATCCATCCGACTTCTTCGATTATTATCGTATATACAACGTTAGGTATAATTCAATTTGTTGAATTCACGGGCTCTTTCGTCGTTTCCAGATTCGTACTACGTACTCGAAGGTCTGAAACCGCAGACTATGTACGAGTTCCGGTTCGCAGCTAGAAACGATGTCGGTCTTGGTAATTGGGGGGCGTTCTATCGCGAGATGACGCCCGGAAGGACGGTTCCTAACGAGCCAAAGATAGTAATGCCGACGGTGGAGTACGATCTGTCCAGGTACAGCAATCAATACGAGTTGAGCTGGCTGGCGCCGGCTGATAACGGCGAGCCGATCGACATGTACCAGATCAAATATTGCCAAATAAGACACGTTTCCGGCGAATGGGAGACGTTAGAGGATACCTGCCGAACGGAGGACATTAGGACGCAGGGAAGAATGAGGCATTGGTTGAGAAATCTCTACTCGGACACGTTCTACAAGGTCGAGTTGAAGGCGCACAACGCGATAGGTTTCAGTAAGCCTGGATCAGCGAAGTTTAAGACGGCCAGGGGTGAGTTTCCTCATGTTTTTTGATCTCTTTTCTTCTTTTTTTTCTCGGTCTTGTTTTTTTTTTTTTCTCTCTCTCTTTACACACAATCTTTAACCGTATTCTTCGAAACGTGTCCGTTTCGTTTTTCGCCATTTTTCTTCATCTTCTTCTACCGATTATTATCACCGTGCGGTATACATTTAATTAGTGCCCTTTTATCAAATCGTAATTTCTCTTTGAAATTGTTATTATTACGTTATATATTACATGTGCACGAGGCTATTGCACCGATATTGATATGCCCCTTCTTTTTTTTATTTTTTTACTTTAACCCGACGAGAGAGACCGTTTTACAATCACTTCGCCTCTGTTTTTTTTTTTTTTTTTTTTTTCTTTATTTACTCAAGGAGGAGGGAAAAGGGTTATTGAGGCATTTTTTTTTTTTTTCTACAAATCTTTTTTCTTTTCTTAATTCATGTGAAAATATGTTTCTACATATATATGCATCTTAAATCGATCAATTTTCTTTCTTAACGAATCAAGTGAAGAGTCCTCAGTCCCCTTGACCCTTGTAGAAGAGCAACTTAGATCAAATATCCGATAGCGATTCGATATATATATATATGGGCATCTTAGGCATATATTAGTTAATCTTACCCCTTTCTTTCAAAACATATTCAAAACACAACAAAAGAAAAAAAAAAACGATCCTTCTACAAGTCACTTTTTATCATTCAGAATCTACGGGCCTCAATGTGGACTACAATTTAGATACTTCCGCTGGAGGTACTCGCAAGCTCGCCGTGACCGCCATTGCAACAGCAATAACGATCCTATTCCTAGCTATTTAAAAGAGAATAAAGTAAAACGATTGAAAACTAAGGAAAAAATAAAAAAATAAAAAATAAACGATTAAAAAAAGAAAAATATAGAAAAATATAAAAGATCATCGTCAGGAACGGTCGCTGTTCACGTTCTAATCTTTCCACTTATAGTGTATACACGTTTAAAGAGAAGAAAAGTGATATGCGAATACGAACGTACTGTGTATGACTATATGCTATAGAGAGAGTACAATCAGGGACACGAACACAATTTTGGGTAAAAAAAAAAGAAAAAAAAAAGAGAAACACAGATAAAGAGAAAAAACGAAAAGAAAAAAAGAAAAAAAAAAGGAATTATATACGTATTTTCGTGTTCGACAAATTCTCACTTTTTCACTCCCGTATAAACAAGCGACGGTTTTCTGACGCGTGTCTGACTTTTGCAAAACACAGTCGAACATTTCGCTACTGTATTACGAGAAAAAAGAAACACACACACACACAAACCAAACATAAACCATACACATGCATAGATTATACATTAACGATTAATGTAAAATGAATCATTTAGACCGGTGCACAACATTCCGAGGTAGAAATGTTAGCGGATAAGTGGGGGTTGTTCGATGATGATGGAAGGTTTAGAAACGCAGTGAGAAACAACGAGAAAGATCGCGATGCTTCGTGAAATGGTTTGGATGATTTTCACGGTGTATTTGATCGAATTGTATCGAATTTCACGGTATATTTGTCGGGTATACTTGTTCGTGACGTTTTTAGCGAATATATATATATATCGGGACGTTTTTGTATTACGCGAAGGTAAAGTGCTTTTCTTTTGAGGATTCGCATGAACTGCCATCTGGTGATCGAAAGAGGTATATTCATTCGAATAAGAAATACTAAAGATTGATCGAAATATGATTTTTATGCGCGAGATCGAAAAAGAATGGAAGATATTATTTTGAAAATCGAAATTATTAATATTGATCTTATAATTTATTACTCGAACATTTTCAACAACGAATTAAAAGACTGTAAATTATGTTCGATTGTTGAAATCATTTCAAATCAATATAAAAATTTCGTGAAAATTAATGTTAGATTTTAACGAATGTGATAGTAAATTTTCATATTGTGTCGATGCAAAGCTTTCGAAAATATGAAATTGGCGCGTTGGTAAACGAAATGAACATTTCCATGGTCGTAAAACAACGTTCGAATGAAAATTACAAATTGCTCATTTGGCGAATTGCCAACGAAGAATATTAAAAGTGTAAATCGATCGAAATTATTCCATGAAAATTTTCAATGCTTAATCAGCATTGAAAATTCTGCAATAATCACGACTGACCCATTCTCGAATGCGAAACTCTTCCATCTCGAAAAATAGTTTATCGATACGATATTACCACGATCACCGATGCATCCAATGCATCTGCACATAAATTGCGAATCTATTTTAGCGTACAGTAAGGGCTTTTGCGGGTCTGACATATACGTACTGCCTTAAATTGCCAAATTTCTAGTGTTAGAAATACGCGCAAATCAGTGAAAACGAATGGTTACTATCGAACGGGCAACGAGCGTTCACAAGATCGGAAATATACGATTTTTCGATATAAACGGAATAAGATCCAATTTTAAACAGGCAGCCCGTATTATTTTGATTGTATTTTAACTATATCCATCGGATTCGTTAAAAATATTCTCTTGTTTCTCGCCACTTAGCAGAGTACAAATATTTTTGGAGAGTAATTTTTCGCGATTCTCGCGGTTCGATTTGCAACGAAACATTCGATATAATAAGAAGGAGAGGATAACGATTAACAAAAAGAAAAATTTAATATTCGTTGTTCATACGTAAAAATTTTAGAGATATGCGAGGTTTTGAAATTACGCGCTCGACACGGCTCGGAAAAATTTCGGCGAAATCGGCGTAGATCTCGATACGACTGAACCTCGATTCGCTCGAATCGATCCGAAATAATACGAAAGTAATCGAAATTTCGACCGATCATGGCCGAATTTTTCCGAAAATATTGAAATTGAATACGCTCGGGTCCCGATCGGAAAAATTCGGGCGAATTCGATCGAAAAAGAGATATGGAGATATTTCGAAATCTCTTCATCGATCTTGTTCGAATTTTTTCGATCTGTCCCGAAGTTTCGATTTCTGAACCTCAGCATATATTACTAATAAGAAGTATCGATGTAATTCGTTACCATTTCTCTACAGAGATACACGTCCGTTAAATAAAAATTCCAAAAATATCGGGAATCGTCCGCGAAAAAATCCGTTTTCGTCCGAGCTAAACTATATAATATATAACAAATGTGTGTGGCTAACTATTTTTTCTTCTTTGTTTGTGGGGTTTTTATTTTTTTTATTTTTTTTTTTTTTTTATTTTTTTTTATTTTTTTTTTTTACCAATTTTCTCGTCCATCTCGAGAAAGGGATATCCGTTTTCCACACGCTACACGTTTTTAGAGCCAAAGAGAAGGATACACTTGCAGATACTTAAATCACGATTCGCGTGTTCCTCGCAAAACTGACACTCCCACACTTCTCAAAAGAACTCGCGTTGAACACACAACGTTACACAATGATCATCGAACGATGATTAGGTTACACGAATAATCACGGGTTCTGAAAAAAAAAAAAAAGACATAATAAGTAAAGATAAATAAACAAATACTAAAACGAAACCCGACAGCATCCGCACGAAACGGGAAAAAAGCACCTTTTTTTCTTAACCATTTATACTTTTAGATTGCGCCTAAAAATTAGTTTTCTTAGCTGGGTTAATTTTCAGCTAATCGCATATACGATTTTTTCTCTCCTCTTGTGTATGGTTTTTTAATACATTTTTGTTTTTTTTTATCTTTGTTTTTTTTTTTTTTTTTTTTAAATAATTGTTTCTCTCTGGGAAAATTGATTAACTTTTTTACCAAATCATCGGACTTAGTCCTGCTTGACTAGCTCTTGGACCATACGTGTTTAGTGCGCATGATGTGTGTTATTATTATTATTACGGTTATTATTATTATTATTATTAATATTATTATTATCATTAATTTTATCATTGCTATTAGCGTTATTATTATTATGATTATTATTATTATTATTCTATTATTCACTGCGTACATAGCCGCTACGATTTACTATAATTACTTATTATTATCATCATTATCATCATCATTATTGTTATTATCATCATCGTCGCTACATGATATTATTAAATATTCTCATCAATTAGTTTTACCGTTCACACCAATCTTGTATACCATGTGTGTATTCGTCATTACCATTAGTATTATCGTCAACAATCGTCACGATTATCGTTTTAAAAGAAAAAAAAAAAACGATAAATTTTATTGTCGCCACGCGCATTCGCC